TCACAATTCACACAACATTCAGCCTTGATAATGGATGCAGAATGCATTCGAAACGCGTCCGCCAACTCATCACTAGCTACAACTTTTACCCGTTGTTCTAACAATGTTAAGACGGCTTATCGACTTCTTGAGAAGAATTTTAAGAAGAAAGTAAACCTACAGACATCGGTCTTGTTTAACAAAATCTGTTTATGTACTTTGTAGACTCTACACATTTCCAAGTTTTGTTAGTTCCTTAGTAATGAGTACTTTCTCTAAGTATGTTTAGTTTATGTGCCTTTTTGGCTACACTTCACGACAGTTCCATGGGTTCCACAGGTTCTATCTAAAGGTTTCTGCCTATAGTTCCACTCCCCCTATATCCACTTCTCAGATCTCCTTCCCTCCTCCTCGGGATTGTACTTTGTCCAGTCATCTTGCCGAGTCCGTTCAAGATCTACTACATAAAGGAGTTATTGAATGGGCACCACCCATTCAACCGGGATTTTACTCCCTTCTATTTTTTGTCTCCAAAAACATGGATGATTGGAGACCCGTCATAGGAGACATCACACTTCATTACTAATGGTATAATTATTCTTGTCTTTATTACGTGTATTATTATTATTTTCACAACATTTTGACCAGACAGCCAAGTAGTCAGAGTGCCTGTATTTGGGATCATAGGTTTGGTGGTTTGAATCCTAGTAATTCCACAACAAAGCTTTCTGGTTTGTGACGCATTCAACAAATGTGTGATATAATACCTGATGACAGCCAGAGAAGTCGACAAATTATCATTTTTTGTCATATTTTGTTGATATACATCATATTTTAGAATCCCACCTGGTGGCAGGTATTGCCTGGTCAGGTATGCTGACTATTATATCTTAGCACTAAATCTGTATACTTCTATAATGCTCACTGTGGAGATGGGGGTGTTTCTGTAAGACCACCGGCCACTTATCTGGTGGTGTGGTGTGGTATTTTTTTTGTTTTAATTATCAATGTATTGTATATAAAGGACCATCAGTCATGGATTTCATGAGTAGAGCAGATGGGGATTTTTGCCCATCCCTACTGACCCATGATTCTTACAATCATTGTCTTTCTGCTTTTCAAAATAGGGAATAACAGGCTCCCATTGCACTGTCTCCAGTATGTCATTCCTATAGACTCCCTAACGTGTATTTGGACTATGGAGGTTTCCTTATGAGTGGGGTTTATACAATAAACTAAAGCAAACTTCAAAGCTCATATGTACCCACTCATTGAAAAGAGGGCTATCATTGTTATACTTACTAATAATGCAATAACATAATATTCTGGATCCAAGGCACTTCCTCCAGATGTTTTTGCCCAGGCTGACCACACTTGTTGATCACAAAATAAATTTATTATGCAAAGTGCTTCCAATGGATGTTTTCTGCCCAGATGGACTGCACTTGACATACTCAATTGTATCCTAAGGCACTTCCCCTGGATGTTTTTGTGTGGGGGACCACACTTGGCCTAATCCTATGTATCCAAGGTGCTTTCCCCTGGGTTTTGCCCAGCCAGATTGCACTTTTTGATTTGTGTATCTTATGCAAGGTGTTTCCACTGGATGTTTTTTTTTTTTGGATGGACTGCACTTGGCATAATCTGATGTATCCCAAGGTGCTTTCCCTGGATGATTTTGATTGGAGAAACCACACTTGGCCATAATATTATATAACCAAGGCACTTCCCTTGGATTTTTTTTGGCTGGGCAGAACCTTACTTGTTAATCTTACAAACTTATGCAAGGCACTTCCACTGGATGTTTTTGCCTGGATGGACTACATTTGGTATAATCCGAGTATACCAATGTGCTTCCCCTGGATGTTTTTTGCCAAAGTGAACCACACTTTGCCTATTCATATACAATTTATGGCCTATTAGGCCTAGCCACATATACTTATATCAAATTATCAGGCACTTTACTGTGACTAACTATCACTATGTCCCATGCTAATGTTTGCTACATATGTGGACGAATTATGCACTATCTTTTTTTTGTATTTTTTTATGGGGTGGATCGCTCTGATTGTTCACAATATTCTAGACAAGGTGTTTCCACTGGATGTTTTGCCTGGTTGGACAGCAACTGAGATGCTCTGATGTGCCCCACGACTCTACCCTTGGCACATATTTATTTGGGCCTGTTGCCGATTACACAATAGACATTCCATTTTTGTCCATGCTGTGCTATTTCATGCCATAGTTATACAGCACTTCTCATAAAAAAAAAAAACGATGCTGTACATCTCTTTCTTGATGCTATGGTGCCTGTTTGTTACATTCTGCCCTAAATGTATTACTGTGTTCATTACAGGGCAAAGAGCATACCTATTCCACAGGTGTGCCTTCTTTCTTATTATGACACACCCGTTCTTTCAAGGTGGTTGCTCTCCAATTGATTGAATACTGTTGCACCTTCACCAGCCCCTCCCCTTTGCAATGTGGGATTCTAGCTTTTGTTGAAAGGAGGTAGTACCATTTTGGAAGATAACATTTTATAACAATGAAAATGTATTTCCGATAGGTACTTACCACTTCCCACCCTTCCTCCCTACTGATATGCTGGTGTTTCTAGTTTGTACCTGCCAATTCTCAAAAATGAGGATTGTGCTAGTATAGATGTCACAGTATGATTGGTGGAAGGTAGTCACATGATTAGCACATGTTCTGAAATGGTATAAAAATGAAGGGGTATAAAAGACTGGTGTGCTGTTAGCAATAAATGTTTTAGCAATGCTTAAAGAGCAAACCAAGGTCGAGATAGCTTTGGATGAGAGTAGGTAAATACCTATTGGAAATACATTTATAAAGCTCCATAACTAGTAGTCAGCAGAGGTGAGGTAAGGGAAGCATGGAGGTCAAGCATGATGGAAGTGGTGAGTACTAGGTTCTCAGTTACTACTTCTGTCATACCTGATCTAGTTACTGGTTTTCATATTACTCTTTGATAATTTAAAACAACAGGTAAATATAAAAACAACAACCCAACCATTCACTAATGTCCTGTCAAGAAATATAACAGTACTTACAACAAATATGCACAAGCTAATGACATCTGAACTATACTGATACACTCAACTTCATGTAGTCCTTACAATATACCAGATTTATTTTACAAAAACAAAAGTAAACAAAAAGGAGCTTTTTTTAAATAAGTACAAAGCAAATTCACACACACTGGAAATGTTATGAAAAACCCTGATTTTTAAGAGAAGACACTCACATTTTTTCTTTCTTCCTCTAATTTTTTCTTCACTTCTTCATGTTCTTTCTGCAACAAAGCCCTCTTTTTCTCCAGAGATATGCTAAACTGCAAAATGAAAAATGCATTTGAACTACTTTATAAAACCTTTCTAACAAAGATATTTGAAAAAGGAAATTGTTTATGAATTCACTTTATTTTATAATTTAAATTGTTTTTGAAAAAAGTTATGGTTTTAAAATACTTTTCAATCTCTAAAACTTCAAAATTAGTCTTGTATATTTTATTTGCTTTGTTCCTTTATTGGTTTAATTTTCAATTTTGTCATTAAAAGATTTTTTCATAACCCAATATATAATTACACACTGTTGACTTTGTGTTCTTTTTCTCCATAGAACCTTTGTGCAGATGGATTTGGACAAGCAAAAACTTAAAAAGATATGGATAATTGATGTTGAAACAGACAGCCTTTTTGGGAACACCTAATAATTACACGTAGTTTGCCAAGACAGCTTGTCTATTTCACCAACTACACTTGTCATTTCATGGTTCATCTGCTCATAGTTATATCAATATTAATTTTTTTAAACTATGGATAATAATAATATTAGTGTCAAAAACATGTTTAATACTCACCCTTTGTCTTTCTGTCACTGCTTGCTCTATTAACTTTTGCTGAAGCTCTCTCTTTATTCTGTAATAAATGTTTATTGGGCAGGTCAGTCAACTCATAAATCATTAGTGTTAGAATAGCTCTATTAGTAAACAAACAATTTAATGAGACACATGTAATTCTTTGTTATTTTCTATAATAAATGTGTGGATATTGCTACTAATAAAATCTGATACACACATATCCAAGTTAGATCCTCCTTCATCAGGAGTAAACAGACAGACAAGTAAGATTTAACTTTTAATGTATACCCTACGAGTTAGGTCCTCCTTCATCAGGAGTAACTATACAGACAAGTAAGATTTAACTTCTAATGTATACCCTACGAGTTAGGTCCTCCTTCATCAGGAGTAAATATACAGATAAGTAAGATTTAACTTTTAATGTATACCCTATGAGTTAGGTCCTCCTTCATCAGTAGTAGATAGACAAGTAAGATTTAACTTTTAATGTATACCCTACGAGTTAGGTCCTCCTTCATCAGAAGTAGATAGACAACTAAGATTTAACTTTTAATGTATACTCTACCAGTTAGGTCCTCCTTCATCAGGAGTAAATATACAGATAAGTAAGATTTAACTTTTAATGTATACCCTACGAGTTAGGTCCTCCTTCATCAGTAGTAGATAGACAGACAACTAAGATTTACCTTTTAATGTATACTATATGAGTTAGGTCCTCCTTTATCAGGAGTAAATATACAGATAAGTAGGATTTAACTTTTAATGTTATACTATACGAGTAAAAATAGTATTTTTTTTTGTCTTCGTTTACTAAAATCTTCCTATTACGGACTATTGACTGACAAGTAACAAGTTTTGGCCTTTTAACTTTTTCTTTTTCCTAGTCTTCATTACTTTTTATTCTTGATCCCACTAGTTTCCATCAAACTAGAAATTTTCTTACCTTGACTCCATCAGATTGGTAATTCTCTTACCATGATACCATCAAACTAGAAATGTTCTTACCTTGACTCCATCAGATTGGTAATTCTCTTACCATGATACCATCAAACTAGAAATGTTCTTACCTTGACTCCATCAGATTGGTAATTCTCTTACCATGATACCATCAAACAAGAACTTTTCTTACCTTGACTCCATCAGAGTGGTAATTCTCTTACCATGATACCATCAAACTAGAAATTTTCTTGCCTTGACTCCATCAGATTGGAAATTTTCTTACCTTGACAACTCATTTTTGTCTTTATGCTGCTTTCCTAAGTTACGGATTTCATCTCTTGTCTGAGCTTCTAGCTTTTTCATTAGTTCACTCACTTCCCTGTTGAGAAAAGTTGTATTAAAATTGTACATGTTTCAAAACTCAAATGAGTTAGCATTTTACAATAGTGGTAAAGAGGTTGATAATTAAGTACATTAAAAATGCTTTAGCTAAATGAAAATTAGATTTTTAGTTATACAGGATCCACCAAAAGAAGTGTAGGGATTTTATGGTTTGATTTTTCAAAGTATTAATGAATAAACATTGTCTATTATTTACAGAATGAAGATTAAGGGTTAGAAATGTAATGATGAAGAGGTGGGCAATCCAACAGCTTTCTCTTGTTGTTGAGCTTTATTTCAAACATGAATGCTCCATCATTGTTGCTCAAAGAGAATGTCATTGAGAACTTGGTATTAAAAAGTTACTCCTTCTGAACATGTCATCAACAGAAATTACAGTTTCAAAAATATGGAGCCATCTGTCATAAACACAAGCAACAATGGCAGTGTTCCATGAACTTTCTTATAACTGAGATATAAATTTGCCTCTATGATTCCCAGATTTGTCAGCAGCAGACTTCCTTTTGTGGGGTTACTTAACAGACAGAGTGTATACCCACAAGCCACAGACACTACAGGTTTTGAAAGATAACATAAAGGTGGTAATTAATGACCTTATGCATCAAACTTTGACCTCTGCAATGGAAGGTGTCATCCTTAGAGCATGCCAGTTTGTAGAGTTCATGGTGAACACCTACTGGACAATATTCATAATTAATGGTTAAAAAAATCTTATTGAGCTACAGTTTCATAAATAATAAACACAAACTATCCCAACAAATGTTGTTGATTATTACAGTTTTAAATCTCTATACTTATCTTGGCGGATCCTGCATCAGCTGACATTTGAGCATTGAAACAAAGATTTATTCTACTTAAAATATATAGTGGAAGAATTAACATATTTATATAAAACAAATGTCAACATAGTGTACTGGTTATTAGATTGTAATCCAGCCAATTTATTTGGAAATACTGCAATACTGTCGAGATCGTAGCCTTGCTCCCAGAATAGTTTTATCTCATCAAGTAAATTAGATTAAACTACAAATTGTTCCCAAACCACTAGAAATCATTTCATATTGATAAAAAAAGATTAAACTTGCATATACAAAAAAACATTTAATTATATCTAGTGTTAAAGTAACATTGTATTCACATTGATGTACCTCACTTATCTGTGTGATGATTCATATCACTGACAGTTTTAAAGAGCATTTCAAGATTATTATTTTTGAACCATGTATTTTAAACCAAAAAAGTTAATATGTTGAAAAATATCAGATCAATATTGAAATTAGCTATTCTAAGCTTTCTACTACAATAGAATTGTGTAACAAATTCATTTTTAATGTAAATTTTAAATGTACCATTCTCTGCCTTCAGGGTTGAAATGGATAAGCAACAGTAATATATGACTGAATGAGAATTTCACAATTTGAAATTCCTATAAAGGAAATAAAATTCACCTAATTTGATATACAATATTTTGAACAACATTAAATCACATACAGAAAATTGCTTACCTGTCATGTAAAGTTTGAAGATACTGCAACTGTGAGTTCTGAGATATATTCATGGCTTTCTCTATAGCATTATAAAACTATAAGACACAAATTCATAAGATATCTTACTCCATCTATACTATTAACCAGTAACAATAATGAAACCTGATAAGTTATATATTCAATTAGTTGTCATTATTATGAATGTGGAGACAAAAACACCAGTCTAAAAGTTTTAAGTTTGGTACTACTCAGTCTTTATTTATGTGTGCCTGAAGTGCTGCTATTCAAAATTTTGTTTCAAATCAACAGTGGTTGGCTTTTGGAATGAACTGCCTTCAAGGGTGGTGGATGCAGAAATTTTAACCAAGTTCAAGAAAAGATTGAATGAATACATGAGTAGTAAGGGGTGGCTATAGTTGGGAGCTGGTAGGGACATCCTTGATGGGCTAATAATTTGTTCATATGTTTCAAAATTTTGTGTAAAATTACAAGGCTATATGAACATATCCGTTCCTAATTTTTAACTGATAAACTGGAAGGAAGGCAGGTAGTAAGCAGCACTAACAACCATTTCTTGGGCTGCTTTGGACTGATAATATAAGTCGCATCCAGTGTACCCACTTATAATAATATAAGTCACATCTAGTGTACCCACTTATAATAATATACATCACATCCAGTGTACCCACTTATAATAATACTAGCTGTGTACCCGTCCTTCGTACGGGTTGTGTGTAT